CTCTCTCTCTCTCTCTCTCTCTCTCTCTCTCTCTGCAGGTTTATGTTGTTTCCCAGCAGTCAGTACTGAACGCTGTTCCCGACGCACACTTTGCCGTGATGATGAACTACACACACAGTGCCAGGACTTTATCTGGGACGGACTGACGTCACTCGAGAATGCTGTTGAAGAGAGGAGATGTTTCCCACAGGATCATCCATTCGGTTTCTCTCGCCTTCTCCGATCGTCTGACCTGACCTTCCGTTTAGTTTTAGACCGTCTTTTAATTTTACAGTCATTCACTGCAGTTAAAGATGCAGATGGTTTGATGTAAAGAATGACACGCAGAGATCAGTTATTGTAGATGATTATACCAATGTTAAAACTGCATGCTGTGACGCACTGGAGAGGACAGCGGACGAACGTTCACTTCCCCCATTTGGTTTGTTTTTCCCGATAAATATTTTTAAAGTATTATTTATATAAAATACATCCCAACTGAAGCTGAGCTCGTGGTCTTTATTCACTTGTGTGTTTGACGGGGAAAGTGCTTTCACTGCGAGAAACGCCTTCATAGTCTTTTCATTACCGTTTCTTCCACGGAATCAAAAAATAAATAAAATAATTGTACAGTTTAATCTCACAATTCGGACTTTGTTTCTCGTGGAATTGCAAGGAAAAATTTTGAGATATGAACTCAGAATTTGTAATTCTGGGATTTTTCTATGATTTATGAGTTTACATCTTGCGTTTTTTTTATTTTTTATTTTTTTTTCTGCCACGAAATAAAAATTGTGTTTTCTCACAATTGTTACTTTTTTTCTCAAGATTGCGAGAAAACATCTCGCAGTTCTGACTTTTTTTTTTTCTTTTTTTTTTTTTTTTTTAAAGGCCCTTTCACACCAGAAGTGAAATGAATGCTTCACTTTACTAGTTACTTGAAAAAAGTAATCTGATTACGTAACTCGTGTTACTCCCAGCACTGATTATGAGCACGAAAAACAAACGCAGTCCGCAGAAGATAATAAAATGTAGCATCACTGTGACTGATCGGATGAGCTGTGTTTGAAGCTGTTGTGTAAATGTTTATTCCTGGTTTTATTAATATATTGAACTATTAAACGTGTCATTTTGCTGCTGACACAGTTTGATCAAAGCAGTAAGCCACTCAGTGCCGAAAACCATTAATCATGGAGTAGTTATTGCTTTATTATGTTTCTGACAAAATTATTTATAAATGTTTTTGTTAAACAAATATGAGGCCCAGTTTTCAGGAGATTGTACAAACAATATCTGTGAAGCGGTTTTATTGGTTCAGAAATCCGAGGATGAAACCACATTTTTTTGGTTTGCAATTCAGACTTTTTCTCTTTATTGTGAATTGCAAATTTACATCGAGTTTTTCTAACTTTTTTTCTCCAAAAATGAGAGTTTACATTTCACAATTTTTTACACTCGTGTGAACCGTAAAGTCACTTTTTGCTTCACAATTTGATTTGTCATATTATTTTCATGAATATTACTCACTAATGCTTATTACTGCAATGCATACAGACATCTTTGGGTTTGTTTTGTAATTTGCATTATTAAAGTCATCATTGGGAATAGAGAGTTTTATTGTCATCATGGTGTATAAACACTGTGCAATTGAAATTATATCATTTGCATTCTTTTTTGCCATTGCAGTAATAAAAATGAATGAGCAAACTCAAATATTTTGTGGTCAATTATCATGAAAGTAGTAGAAATGGTTCTTAAAATCGGTTTTCATTATTATTTGTTGTTATTTGTGAAATCAAACACTATTTCTGAGAGATTGGGGTCATGGGTTTGTTGATTGGAAGCTCTTCAGTGTTTTTGGAGCTGCTGGAAACTCACAGCATTGCTTCCTCTCTTCTGCTGCTGATTCAAACCAGTCATTCAGACAAATCTGGGAATATAGTGAGAGGAAAAGGCCAGGTTGTCCAGAATCAGCATCGTCTCTGGCGTGTGACCTATGACCGCTTACACGCCTGTTTCCATGGCAACAAGCCCAGTTCAGTTCCACAGAAAATCACCTTCAGCTCCGGTTTTGTTTAATGTGTTATGTAATATTTCATTATATGTGATATCTAGCTGACAGCTTCACGTCCAGCAGAGCTCATGTTGCTCAAGGCATTTCAAATAACCGTGTTCAGTCGGCGCCCATAGCCTTGTGGTTAGTGTGTCGACATATAGTGCAACTGCGCTCACGGCGACCCGAGTTAGAATCCCGCCTTGAGGTCCTTTGCCGATCCTGCTCCCTTCTCTCCTCCCAGTGCTTTCCTGTCAGCTCTCTACTGTCCTCTCACAATAAAGGCATAAATATAACTTAAAAAAAAATATATATATATATATCTGTGTTCAAGAACGACATCGAGCCATTAACAGAACATTTCTAATTCTAGCTCACTAGACTCTATATAACTAATGTATTTGTAAATTACCCAACATGCTTCTATCAGTTTGTTTTTGGTTAAAGTAATAGTTCACGTGAGCCTTTTTGTTTCCAAACAAGATTTTTCAAGAGTCATTATTGTGTAAAAGCAATCATTACATTTTTGTATACGTCTCATTTAAAGGGGTCATATGATGCTTTTTTAAAGATCATTATTTTGTGTATTTGGTGTAACAGAATATGTTGACATGCTTTAATGTTCAAAAAGCACATTACAACCTGATTGTTTTCAGTTTTTTCCCCAATAAATGTGATTTTTGCATAAACCCAACAAAAGTACCTTTATTGCAAAGGAATTATAATTTAAAAATGACACTTCAGAGTGATCTAGATGTACATGTATATACAATCACCTACACCTACCCCGCGTTCTCCAATACTGAACATGATCTGGATTGGAATAAATGATTCAAGACACATTTATGATCCTAATAGTTGTATGATATGAAAACTGAGATATTGATCACTGATCTTCTTACCATCAGTGATTTAATAACAAGTACTCATGATGTGCTGAAATAACTGCGACCCTTGTACAAGGCTGAATTGCTATAGTTTGATGATGAGATGAGGAACAGTGCATTATGAGATATATAAGATCTCTATTAACCGCAGTAAATTCTGATGAAGGTCAGCCTTCACTGTCTGAAGCACATCACAGAAAGTGTTCTAGATCTGTTTATTTACAGATGTTCAGTGCTGATTCTAATCGAGTCTTGGCTGAAATGCGACTCAAAGCACCAAACGGCTGCAGTTTGTTTCACAGTGAAAGTTAGTTTGACTGCAGATCCGTCTTTCTATGTTTAGTCCCTTTAGAAGATTAGATGAAGTTATATGAGGGTTTCTATCATTTCATCTTGGATGGATGTGTTCACACTGTTTAAACTCTTACATATACTCTGGTGAAGTGTGTGATTTCTGTCACCAAACAGATTCGCTAAAATAATACAGAATAATACAGTCTACAGAACTCACTGAAAACTGAATGACGAGCACAAGCTGCCCACAAATAATCACGGCCAAGTCTTTCAAATTCATAGTAATGCATTCTCCATTTTGGATTGCAAATAGAAAGTGCCTAGTGCTGCAGTGCAATGTGACGTACGTGGAAGCGGGGTGTTTGTTCATTATAATGGCCGTGATCTAGATTTGTGTCAGATCGAGTTCTTGTTCTTTACATAATGAGGACATTAGATGCCCGGCACCAGCACCCTGTCGATGGAAAAAGGAGTTACTGACATCCAAAAAACAGACTTGACCAATAGGTGGCGCTGTACCGTTTCAAACACGATCCAAACTTTTCTGTACAACAACGATAACTATAACGTTAACTATATTAGTGTCCACACCAACGGACAATAACGTTCTGTTTATGCCACTTGTGGACTTTAAATGCTCAAGTTAAAGTCAGATTGCGTTATGAACGTGATTCCAACTATATCGTTCATCTGTATCATTATCGTTATAGCTGTGGTGTGGACTTCGCAGTTCTCTTAAAGTCAGAGCGATTAATGCAACTTCATGGTCATAGTTATTGTTCTTAGTGCGAACGGCCTTTTATTCTTCTAGATCTGGTGAGGTGTGGCTTACGGTCACGACACACTCTTGACTCCCTCTTTGAGTCCTCAGGTTAGAGTAGAGCCGATCGTCCAGTGTGGACGCCAGTTTGTCTGACGGACTGATGTCAGTGAGAGTGTGAAGCGTGTAGTCCGAATCCTGATCCGGATCAGTGGGATCCAGCATGACTGTGTGTGTATGTGAATGCAAATGAGAACTAAATGTAGTCATTGGTCCACCACGGTCCATCTGTGAATGTTTTTGTGAATCTGCGGGATGAGCATTTGTTCCCAAGACCTCCAGTCTCCCAGAATGCCTGGCACTGCTGTCCTGCATTTGGGATGAAAAGAAATGTCGGCTTGTGTTGTTGCTGCTGTTGTTTGCGTTTTCCTCCAGGTCTGGACCAGAACTGCCTGTTTCTGAGGGCGGACCAGCACCTTCCAGCTCTGGACCGGATTTTTCTGGCTCGGGCGATTCCATACTCGCTGCTCCCTCGCTGGCCTCCTCGTCCGCGGCGCTGGCGATGCGAGGCAAGGTACTGTGGTAGCGTGTGTCTAAGGGGAAGTTGGCGCTGTCGCCTCGGCGTAGCGGGTAGCAGCGCTGTCGCTCTAGAGATGGTGAGTATCGAGCGGCACCGGGGTCGCTGTACTGCTTGCTGCGCTGCCACTGCTTCCTGAGATGGATTCGGGAGCGGTGCCGGTGACGCAAGGAGGGCGAGCCCTGCTGGTCAAACTGGGGGTCATGGCGTAGGAATTCATTAAACAGCGCCTCCGTCTTCTCATCGATGCTGTAGTCTCTGCGGCGGAAGTGTGGCCTGGGTTTGGTCACGGGTTCTTGGTGGGAAACCGAAGCGGGAGTGTCTGCCTCCAAACTTACGCTGCTCTCCGATGCCTCATCTTCCAGCTCCTCCTTGAACAACCGTGCCTCAAAGCTCTCACAAACCGTGCCTTTGCATCCAGAATTGGTGAAAAAGCGGCGACGTTCTGATGCGGTCTTTCCAGAGCTACTCCCGAACAATCTGAATTCCTCTGGAGCCTTGCAAGGAGCCTCGATTGAGGCGTATCCACTGTCCATCTGCAGAAGCTTCCGGTTGTTTGTCTCTCCGTCGCTGCCTCTCTCAGTGTCTACGCTGTCCAGTCCATTTCTCCTCTGCCCGGCTTCCCTGACCATGTCGTCATATGGAAGCTCGCTGTCCCCGTCTAGATCATCATCGATGTCTTGCGACTGGTAGCTGGGAACGCCCGCTCTCGATGCTCCCGCTGAGCAAACGCTGTCGGCATCGCTGCGAGTGGAGTCCCTGTCGTTGCTGCTCAGGTCGGAGGATGCGTACTGCTCCAGCGATGCTCTCAGGCTCCAGATGTCGCGGTACAGGCTGGGCTGCTCTAGGCTCTCCTGATGACTCACTGGTCCAAACTCTTCAGTGTCGCCTCCTGATGCTCCTGCCATCATCCCCTGTCCATCCTCTTCACCATCCTCCACTTGCAGAGGTCCTTGGGATGAGGGCAATGTTGGAGTCGTGTCTTTCACTGCATCTGTATTGACTCTGAACTCCATTACGGCTTCTACCTCTAACCTAAATGTAAACAAGGCTGTTATGTTACAGTAAAATGTTCTATATTACTAGTAGAGGTGGTGGGACAATTCTGCTTCATTCTGAAAACATTCTAGATCAGGGGTGCCCAATCCTGTTCCTGAAGATCTACCGTGCTGCAAAGTTAAGCTCCAACCCTGATCAAACACAAATAAACCAGCTAATTGAGATCTTCAGGAGCACTTGATAATTACAGACAGGTGTGTTGAATCAGGGTTGGATCTGAACTCTGCAGGCAGGTAGATCTTCAGGAACAGGATTGAGCACCCCTGTTCTAGATTGTACCTGAAAAAATAATAATATGAATTCTACAGAATCTTTTAAATAATTAAGCAATGAGCAATGATTTTAATTTGCCCAAGACTTGTGTCCATGCAGTTGCTAAAAAAAATTGAGATGCATCGAGGCTTGTTTTGGAAGTGGACTGCGAATCTTGAAATTGAACGGTAAGGTGCATAAAGATCCTCTAATTCAGGGATGTTCAATCCTGCTCCTGGAGGGCCACTGTCCTGCACAGGTTAGCTTCAACCTTAATTAAACACACCTGAAGCATTTAATCAACATTTTTCAGGAGTACAATAAATTTTCAGGAAAGTGTGTATGGGCAGGTTGGAGCTAAACTATAGCTGTGCTTCTCAAACCTGTCCTGGGGACCCACCACTACTGCACATTTTGGTTATCTCCTTCATCGGTCACACCTGATTCAACTCACCCAGCTCATTAGTAGAGACTGGAAGACTTCATTTGGGTGAGACATATGAAGGCGATATCCAAAATGTGCATTAGTGGTGGGTCCTTAGGACATGTTTGAGAGCACTGCTCTATAGGTCTGGAGTGTCCACTCATACTCCTGGAGGTCCACTATCCTTCAGAGTTTGTCCAGTCCTAATTAAAACACACCTTAACCAGCTATTCAAGGTCTTCAAGATCAGTGCTGTGTTTGGTCAGGTTTGAGCTAAACTCTAGGTCAGGGGTGCCCAATCCTGTTCCTACCTGCAGCATTTAGTTCCAACACACCTGTCTGTAATTATCAAGTGCTCCTGAAAATCTCAGTCATTCAGCTGGTTCATTTGTGTTTGGTCAAGGTTGGAGTTAAACTTTGCAGGAAGGTAGATCTCCAGGAAAAGATTAGGCATCCCTGCTGTTTGCCCTCCGAGAGCAGGATAGGACGCCCCTAATTCAAGGGTGTCTAATCCTACTCCTGGAGGTCCACAACCCTGCAGAGTTTGGCTCGAATACTAATTAAACACACCTGAACCAGTTAATCAGGTTCTTCAGGATCACTAGAAACTTTTGGGCAGGTGGGAACAAAACACTGCACATATTAGCATTAGCACTTATAGCAGTGGTTCACCCAACACTGAACATATTGCATGTCTCCTTTTTTCTGACACCCCCATTGGACACCCCTGCTTTAATGTCTAGGATATTTTGACAGGAGCTCCTGAGGTGACGTGGCTGTACCTGCTGAGGGCAGGCTGAGCTCCTGCGGTGGCATCCAAAGAACCGGCCGAAAGGCGTCTTGACGCCTCCTTCTGTGGCTGTGCGGTGGGTTTTCGCAACAAGATGTCACTGACTCCACTGTGCAAGGTTTCTTCTCCCTGATCCAGAGTCTCGCTGGCCGCCCGCTGCCTCTGAAACGCACGTCTCCGCGGAGAACCTAAGGGAATAAAAGAAAAACATGGGAATGACCAGGAAGTGAAACCTTAGAAGTGACTGATTTGAGATGCTCTACATAGGCAGCATTGTGACAGTGTTAATTTATGTATTATTATAGCATTTATTAAAATTTTGGCTTTTATTTTATTTGTTTTCACTGAGCTTCTCACAGTGTGTTGTTCACGTCAGCAGCTCAGCAGGTTTTGGAACGGAGCTACAGAGAAGCAAAGAAGCTTGGAAAGGAGACGCCACGGCTCCCTCATCCTCTATAATGAGAGCATATAATGCGATCTGAAGCTCATTAGAAGGGAATGAGCATGCCGTACTGACTGACCCTTCACATCAGGTGAAGAATAATGCGTTTATTTTATAATTCACTTATCAGGAAGCAGCTTTTGTCCTGCACTCCTGCTTGAAATCTCTTGAACCAATCAGATCTCACTCCAGTCACATGACTGTAACTAGACTGAGCTACTCTAGCCGTATTGATCCGGTATTGATTCCTCTTCTCTAGGCTCATTCAAGGCTGAAGAAGACCTCCGTGTGTAAAACATTAAGGAGACTGCAGGATGTCTGGCTTTGGATTGTTTTACAGAATGTGATTGCTGAATAATACTGCAGCTCATATCATGAAGAATCATTACTGTTCATTGAACTATGAAGCATCTTTCAGAAGACAAAACATCCTCTCCAGTCCAACAAGAGCGTTTAATCAAACTGAACTGCAGAAACGACTTGATCTGAACTTCACATATGGAGAGTTCATGGATTAAATCATGAATGGAAGTTCTTGTGTGTTTGAGGTCATCCTCACCTCTCGTGTCGAGACTCGCCGCTCTCTGGGTGGTGTCCTGTCTCCATTTCTTGACGCTGAAGAACGGACCCGCTCCCTCCAGACTGGCGTGGCGTCTGAGCTTAGACAGGAAGTGGAACATGGTGCCCTGAGCCGGACAGAAAGTGGAATCTCTGTCCATCAGCAGGCTTCTGTTCATCACCTCAATCTGGAGAGGAAGAGATCATGAAAAAGGCGCTCGGGTCACAGGTAATGCCAAACATATATAAAGCACCAAACTCTGTAATACGATGATGAAGTCATTCTGTCCAGATGCAGTGCATAACTTAAATTCAATTCAACAAACAAACACTGATATGCACACAACTGTACTGTACAATTTACAGTCATGCAAATAATTTATTGCCAGTGTCACAATGCAAAACATCCTAATGGCTTTTAATTTGTTCATGCAGAATTGAAATAAAGCTTATAAAAACATAAAATATCTAAAACATTTGATGAAATAAGATTGTTGAAGCACTAAAATAGTTAAAAAATAAAACTACAATTATATAAAAAATAAATTAAACCTAAAGACTAAAAACTAAAATGGAAAACTGAAAATATAAAAAATAAAATCTAAAACCAAATATTATTAATAGTATAAAAATAATACTAAAAATGATCAAAAATGACTTTCAGGTTGATTAATTATTATAATTATTTAGAATGTTATTATTTTTATTATAAATAGAAAGCAGTTTCAGAAGCTGTGAGTCAGACACACTGACAGCGTTTGTGTTGCGTAACTGAACTGCAGCTCTATGCAGAAAATGAATCAGGAGTGAGTCAGTGAGAGTTATGATGAACTGCATCTAATTTACATGAGAAAGCGAATCGCATTTACACCCAAATGATAATTCATCTACATGGAGCCCAAAAGTGCTGCTGTAATCTGCTGAAACACTCTCTGTTCAGTCACTTTTCCTGAACAGACAGTCTTTGTGTGTCTGCGGATCATCAAGCCCAGTAAGAGTTAGTTTAGTTGTTCGTATAATGCGAGTAGTTCACTCTAATATTTTACATTGCTTCACAAAAAGCCTGTATTGCAAGATGTGTGGATAGATGGGTCACTAGTGCATTTTTAATGTTTTCTGCAGTGCATACAACAGAAATAGACATGCTGGAGGTGATGTTTGAGAGATATTAAAGCAGTGTGTCACCTGGAATATGGAGAGGGATGGGTGTTGTGAGGGCTGTTCGCTGAGCGTCACGCTGTTCTCCGGTGAATCACACTCCATGATGGTGAGGATCTTCAGCGCCGGCGGCTGCAGGTGCAGGTGCGTCAGACGAGCTTTCTTCAGGTGATGGAAGTCGCCCTCCGTCAGCGTGTACCTGAGAGACCGTTACAGCCCGTCAGGATCCAGATCAAGTCTAAGTCTTTTCAGTATTCAGTGATTATTTCATTTCCTTTCTGTTCTTTATGGTTGTGAACTAAAACATGAACTTGGTTCTCTGACAGACACCTGGAAGTGGACAGTGACAAAACCAACCAGTTTAACTCTATTAATAAAAAAAAAATTTAATGAAACGAATTCAACTAACATTTAAATCTTGTAATCGAAAAAACCACCAAACGTCGTTTGAATGTTAATCGAACAAAACCAACCGACATTTAAATATATTAATCAAACAAAACGGACTGACATTTAAATCTCGTAATCGAACAAAACGACTAACCGATATTTAATTCTGTGAATCGAACAAAACACCAACATTTAAATCTCGTAATCGAACAAAACGACTAACCGATGTTTAATTCTGTGAATCGAACAAAACACCAACATTTAAATCTCGTAATCGAACAAAACGACTAACCGATGTTTAATTCTGTGAATCGAACAAAACACCAACATTTAAATCTCGTAATCGAACAAAACCGACTAACCAATGTTTGAATCTGTTAATTAAACAAAATTAATTAATTAAACCTCTAATAGAACAAAATTGACTGATGTTTAAATCTCTTAAACGAACAAAACCAACCGATGTTTTATTCTGTTAATCGAACAAACCCGGATGACACTGAAATCTCTTAAACAAAACGGACCGAAATTCAAGTCTCATAATCAAACAAAACCGAGCAATGTTTAAATCTGTTAATCAAACAAAACCAAACTAAAACATGAACATGATTCTCAACAGGTTGTCATTCTTCGGTCGCTCTCGACCCTTGACCCCTTCATATGTGTGTGTCTGACCTTCGACCTGTCTCCTGGTCTTTGGCGCTCTGCTCATAGATGGCGGCCTCGTTGAAAGAGACCCGTCTTCCGGTGACCGACGCAGACAGGAAGTGATCCGCGTCCGTATCGCCATGACAGCTGGAAGAAGACAGCGACTCGCCGCTCTCGAGTCTGATAGTGACATCTGAAGAAAACAGAGAGACATCAGTGATGCACATTTGTTTCTCTTTATAAGCCGTGCGCTATATTTTTCAACATCGTCGTTTAAATAACTGATTACATTTGGAAAATGTTAAACTCACATCAGGCTCTTTGAAAAACTGCTATTTTTTCAGCTTAAGACAACCGAATATATCTTCATTAATGCTTTTTGATCATTGTTCACTCTTGCTTAGAACAAAACTGACCATTAGCTAAATCTCTAAATTACACTCAGATGTGTGTCTGAGCATCAGAATTTTATCTGCGACAACCAATCATATTTTCACTAATAACTTTTTGAGAATCACTTACTCTCGCTTAGAACAAAACCGACAAACATTTAGATCTCTAATCGAACAAAACTGACCGACATTTAAAAACATGTTAATCAAATAAAACCAATCAACATTTAAAAATCTCTTAACTGAACGAAAACAATCAACATTTAAAAATGTTAATCGAAAAAAACGACTGATGTTTAAAAGTCTCTTAATCGATAAAAACCGATCAATATTTTAAAAAATCTCCTAATCGAACGAAAATCGATCAACATTTAAAGGCGACCTATTATGCCCCTTTCTACAATATGTAATATAAGTCTCATGTGTCCCCAGAATGTGTCTGTGAAGTTTCAGCTCAAAAAACTCCACAGATCATGTATTATATCATTTTGAAAATGCCTATTTTGAGAGGAAGCAGAAACACGCGGTTTTCGTGCGTGTCTCTTTAAATGCAAATGAGCTGCTGCTCTCCGCCCCCTTTTCCAGAATAGAGCTGTTCCTTTACAGCTCGTACATCAGATACTCTGATAAAAAACATCTGTTTGGTTTTGATTATCATGTCTATAGCGCTGAAATCATGCGTTTTAAAGCCATATCGGTTTAAACTTCTGATAAAGTGTTTTCTGAGTGCACACATTCGAAGCACGCGCACAGAAAGCGGCTGTCACACGGCATGTGAGCACTAAACTAAGTTCTCTTTCATGTCTTATTGCGCTTAAACTGTCAAATACACTCAAGTTTGTTAAAAACACACGAGTTACAAAAACAGTGGGTTATGTCTGTGAAGGTAAACAGCTGGGAAAGCGATCGCAGGTTTATATTAGATCTGTGTGGCAGCAGCGTAATATACGGTAAATCAATAAATCCACTGCTCTCTCGTCTCTGAGGCTGGGACTCTAAACAGTGTTCTGTGCAGCTAACGATAGAACAGTTAGCATGCTTTGCTTGAACTTTAGCCATGGTGTTAGAACTGGTAAACAGTTGTCGCTTGCGAAAACAAGAATGGCGGCGGCGTGAGGGGAAACGTGCAGATTAAGGGGTGGTGATATTATAATAAGATCCCTTTGCCACGTCACAAAGGGAGCGAAATCTGACGCGTAAATTTTTTTCAGAAAAATGCTTACCAAAACAAAGTTACTGGGTTAATCTTTTTCATGTTTCCTTGGTTGGTAGATGATTATAGCACTTAAAACCTGGAAAAGTCAGATTTTCATGAAATGTCACCTTTAAGATCATATATATTAAAACACATACATTATATATATACATACATATATACATATATATATATATTAGTGTTGTCAAACGATTAATCGCATCCAAAATAAAAGTTTTCATTTAAAATAAACGGTTTATCGCATCATAACGAAGACGAACATCAATAATAAAACTGCTCTCTCGTCTCGTCTGAGGCTGGGACTCTAAACAGTGTTCTGTGCAGCTAACGATAGAACAGTTAGCATGCTTTGCTTGAACTTTAGCCATGGTGTTAGAACTGGTAAACAGTTGTCGCTTGCGAAAACAAGAATGGCGGCGGCGTGAGTGGAAACGTGCAGATTAAGGGGTGGTGATATTATAATAAGATCCCTTTGCCACGTCACAAAGGGAGCGAAATCTGACGCGTAAATTTTTTTCAGAAAAATGCTTACCAAAACAAAGTTACTGGGTTAATCTTTTTCACGTTTCCTGGGTTGGTAGATGCACCGGGGACCCGGTTATAGCACATAAAGTCAGATTTTCATGATATTTCACCTTTAAAAACGTTAATCAAACAAAACCGACTGATGTTCAAAAATCTCTTAATTGAACGAAATCGATCAACATTTAAAAACGTTAATTGAACAAAACCGACTGATGTTCAAAAATCTCTTAATTGAACGAAATCGATCAACATTTAAAAATCTCTTAATTGAACGAAATCGATCAACATTTAAAAATCTTTTAATCGAACAAAACCGACTGATGTTCAAAAATCTCTTAATCGTACGAAATCGATCAACATTTAAATCTCGTAATCAAACAATCTTAATGAGTCTTTTAATTGAACGCTTGGCCTGACTGTACTGCTGTGTTTGTGAATGACTCTGTTCTCACGTTCACCTTGCATCGGCTGACTCTCCTCTATGTATGTGGTGTTGGTTTTCTCCAGGTCATCACTGGCTCTGAACACCAAACAAACACAAACCACATCAAGATGATGAGACCTGTTGATTTGTTTAGCTTGTAAACACACACACACACACACTATACAGTATGTGGTGATGAACAGGTTTGTCTACTCCAGTGTTTTGAGTCGTTTCTGCGGGTGAAGTAGTGAATGAATGAACACTGTTTCCGGAGGTTTGGAGGCATGAATGTTCCTCACCTGGAGTAGCGTCGCTCTCCTCGACAGCAGCGATGACAGAAGACCAGCAGGATGGACAGGAGGACCAGCGTCCCGCCGGCGAACACACACAGCAGCACCAGCAGCAGGACATAGTTCTCCTGAGAGCCGGACGCCAGCGGCACGTCCTGCAATGCATTTCACACTGATCTCTGTGTTTCAAAATACTGTGCATTTCCTCCAGTGACTCGACCAGAGACATGAGGCTGAACCACAACAGATCATCAACTCCATCTACAGCCTTCCTGTAGCTCAAACAGTAGACCACAGCGCTCGCAACACAAAGGTCATAGGTTTGAGTCCACAGGAACAGTAAGGACTGACACAAAATGTATACTTGAATGCAATGCAAATCTAAACCCCAGTGTGTCCATAACCACAGATAATTATTAAGATTTACAACATAAAAAAACAGTAAACATTAAAGTACAGAACCATTTACAGACACATTGAATTGAACTGGTTTCATAACTGATTCATAACTTATTTTCCTATTTATTATAAATCAACCATAATTACGCAACTCATGCTGTGAATAGATTAAAGGAATAGTTTCACCCAAAAATGTGTTCATTTACTCCTGTCGTTCAAACTGTGTGACTGACTTTGAGATATTTTGAGAAATGTCACACTGTTTTGTGTCCATATAATGAAAGTCAGTGGGTTCCAGTGCTGTTTGGTTCCTTAAAAATATCATCTTTTGTGTTTCACAGAAGCAAAGTCGCACAGGTTTGAATGATGACAGATTGATCATTTCTGGCTGAATGATCCCTAAACTTGTGTTTACTAGGTAATGTGTGAGTGTGTGTGTGTGTGCGTGAGTGAGTGAGTGTTTGTGTGTGTGTTTTGCTGGTGACTGGAGTTCAGATGAGTGTGTGTGCATGTGTGTGTGAAGCAAACAAACATTAAGTGCATGTGCTTATGGAGATTTTCCATATGTGCTCCATGTAAACTAATTAGTGTGCAGCACTGAGACACAAACAGGCATCCTGTGAGGGGTTTCCCTCTGTCAGGTGAATCTGTCCGTCTGTGTCTCCATGGCAACCGTCTCCCTGCGGCCCCTCCCTCACCTGAGGAGCTTCCTCACCTACAGCAGGTGAAACACGACTGGCTTCAGATCCGCCAGATATACTCGAATAATAAAGCAATTTTAAATAGCTGTTTTATATGTGAATATATGTAAAAAATATATGCATCACAGTTTCCACAAAAATATTGAGCAGCACAACTGTTTTCAACATTGATAATAATTAGAAATGTTTC